GTTTATTATTTTATTAGATTTTACTATTCCTTTTACATCGTAGAGAATTTCTTAGATAAATACTACGCGATACACAACAAGTACTCTTAGATTACTTGGCAAGTTACGTATAATTGTTTACATAAGTAATTGCTTTTATCATCTTCAGTTAATAAATGACATTTTATATGTCACTACTTGAACAAGTACTTATATGAGTTACTTTGTATAATTATCATGTAGTGAGTACTTAAAATCATCTATAAATCACTAATTTCCTTGAGATGTTTATTATTTTATTAGCTGTTACTATTTCTTTTATATCGTAGAGAATTTCTTTGATGAATACTACGCGTTACACAACAAGTACTCTTAGATTACTTGGCAAGTTACGAGTAATTGTTTACACAAGTAATTGCTTTTATCATCTTCAGTTAATAAATGACATTTTTTAGACACTACTTGAACAAGTACCAATGAGTGTAGTGATTACTTAAAATGACGTGTAAATTAAATTTTTACTTCAAATTATTGTTTTTGTTGAAATAACATAAAATATAAATATGTACTCTAATTCAATAGCAAAGAACTATATCCGAAAAAGAAGAATTTTGAACTGCGTTGAAAATAAATAATACCTTATGAACAAAATACTCTGTATCATCGACATTTGGAAAAATCTTTATATAAATTCGAAAAACCTCGAACATCTGTATTGTTTGTATTTTCATTAATTTTACATTAATTCGAGTATGTTAAATGTTTCACTTTTCGAACAACCTAAATAAACGAATTTTATTAAACAATTTAGTTGACCACTGTATTGCTACTATATTTAAAGGCTTAAGATTTCTATTTTTTTAATAGATTTTTCTAACTACTCAATAATGACAAGTACTTGTCAAGTTACAAGTGTACGATTAGTGTTTACATAAGTAATAACTTGTATTGTTATATGTTTACTACTTCAACACTTGTTGAATACTTAAGTAAGGTACTTGGTAAATATCACTTAGTGAGTAAATAACTTTCAGAAGTGAAAAGTTTTGCAAGACCAAAGCTAAAACTGAAGATATTCGAACGGCATACATACATTCTGGTTTAAATTTATTTATATATGTTGAAATATTAAGATCAGAATGCATTAATAAGATAAAGTATTGATAACAAATAATACCTTATGAACAAGATACTCTGTATCATCTAAATGGTCGGTCTCGCACAACCTGAGGACTTCGTCCGGAGGTTTGTAGTCCCTGTAACCGGTAGGAGACGGCGTCGTCCTCTGGTGTCCGCCGTCGACCTCCAGGTTCCTGCAACCATCGACCTCGAAGACTTCATCATCCATGCTGCTCTCTCCTGTTGCCATGCCGTTCACCATCTTAAAAATTCAGTCATATACCATTATCAAAATACCGTCTTTAACAAATTGCATTACGTATGCGCATAATCAACGCCAAATTAATTACAAATCTGAATGAGGAAGTGAACTGTACGACGAAATAAAGCGAGGACGAGAATAATGATCGTTACCCAGAGAGTCCGTAATCAGTAATCCCCCAATATGGACCATATGTAACAGCTGCACACACCTCTCCCTCTGTTTACACCTAGCACACAGTAAAAACCGGATTTTCCGTTTCCGGCTGATTCCGATCCGTTGTTGCACTTTATTTATTTTCGGGACTCTTCAGGTGGCCGCCATGTTGGCTTTCGGGCTTTGCACTAGGTCGGGAAATACGGGATCAATGAAAACATGGTGTTGAACTTTCCACTACTGACGCAGCTTTTCCAGGCAAACCCACTTCCATACATACACAACACAAATACCAATGCGCTTATTTCATTCAAAACTTTCCCAGAGATAAGCCTATCTTTGGCTTGATTAACTCTATGTTTTTATTACCATTTCTCATTAAAGTTTCCCAACCATTCCCATCCACTTTAAATATATTTATTAAAACAAATTCAAGTAAACTTTATACATATAAAAAAATATTTATATGATGCAGTGAAAACTTAGTAAATTTATACAATGTACCTAAGATCTTAGTAAAAATGCTAAAAAAAAGTATAAAAAGGTTTACAATTTCTAACAAATATACACACTTATAATATAATTGCTACAACAGATTGATAAAAGTATCAACAAAAAAAAATGAAAATTTATATTAGTAAATATTCATATGGTGTAAGTTTATAAAATGTCAAAATACAGTTAAGAATAGTTTTAGAATAATATAATTTACCAGTCTCACGTTTTTTAACCAAATCATATAACACATCTTTTGGATTCAATTTTGTTCAAACTCTTACTAAATTTGATGTTAAAATGTATGCATCAATTCAATCAACATTTGTTTGGTTGTTAATACATTTTCTTTACAAAATATTAAGTGTTTACATTAAATGGGTTAAACCTTCCATTTTAACATAATTACAACACAAACATAAATTAAACTTACACAACTCTATTGAAATGAGATTTTTTTTCAACAAGGAAATGCATTATACCGCTGTAGCCAAGAGAATCAAGAACATGGTATATTTCTAGATGAAGCAAAAAAAAACTACTCATTTATTGATATTCTAATTCATTCAAAACAGGTAAAGTATTTTCAGAATAAATTAAAAAGTCACACCACGCCGAGATAACGTTACCTATTGGCTCCGAATGGATCAGGACTTCGTTTGTTTCAATGGCAAATACCATGTGCACACTTAGCGCGCAGCAACAGAGAAATGCTATTTTCCATTTGCTGACAAGAATTGAAATTGCTAATTTCTCGAAACAAGACAAACTTAATAAACAACAACAAACAATTCCATTACGTAAATTATCTTTAGAGAAAATGCGAAAACTCGAATCGTCACATGCAGATCGTGAAATTGCGCGTTTTCTACAAACGATTCGCAATTTGATTTAGGTTTAAATATGCATGATTTGTCCCTCTCAATAACGTGTTTGTATTAAATAGAACGCACATGCAAAACGCAATTACGCTTTGTTTTTGTATAATTATGTTTGTTTTGTAAACGTTATTTTATATTATTCTTAATATTGAAGCGATGTTTTACAAATATTATGCAAGTAGTTTAAATATGTGGAAATTACAGTATAAGTTTTATTTCTTATTTTTTTTTATAAAATTATGACCTACAAATTTATTGAAATTAGTTAAAAAAAGTCTAGTCGTTCTGAAATCGTTGCTTCTAACTGTAATTTCAATAATTTATCTTTTTTTTGGTCAAAATTCCATTTTAGTTTGAATAATTATGTGAATTCTCTGCATACAATTTGATGAGCAAGAAAGTACTAGATTTATAAACTTAGTACTTTCTTCCTATAGGACTTCGTAGATAAGACTTAGTAAGGTACGTCTTTACTTTAAGGAGAAATTCGAGAAGCCAGGAGAAAATACGCCGTACATATTTTCATCTTCGTCTCATAAATTGATGTCGGATGAAAGAAATGTAAATTTTTCCAGATTACCTTGGCCGTCAAATAGTTTCTATCTACTTGGCGCTTGATAATTTATTCAAACTACTCGATAGTTGTTTATCTCCCACAAATTATATAAACTCTTCCACGGGCCTCCAGATTTTAGTTGATCTCTGAACAGCATCAATAATACAAGTGTCTTGTGTGGCAATGGTAAGTCTAAGTTCTATCTAGCAAAAACCCTACAAAACTATATTCGTTTTGCTTTCTTCACATTCTAGACCTCTTATACTGACAAAGGACCAAAAGTAAGTTTAAACTCATTGATTTTATTTGTGAATTATTAACGAAACTTTAAATTGTAGCCAAAGTTCGGAAAATTCCTGTGCTTCGATCATTTAACATTCAACGTTGGAAACGCAAAGCAGGTATTATTGTTAAGTTAAAAAGAATTATCGGAAAATATTATCGAGGATTTGTTGTTAGGCCGCTTCCTATTATGTGACGCGCTTAGGATTTGAGCCTTTGGCTTACAAAGGCTTGGAAACTGGAAGCAGAAAGTATGCGGCGCACGCGGTGCGACAGAACAAGGTAAGATTTATGTAAATTTATTTAATAATATTCAGAAATTGGATTGCGTCAAATGGTTTCTAATTAATTCCGTCTCTTCAGATCGTCTTCGTTTTCGTTTCCGCGTACGAACCCAACGAGACATCCGTTGGTAATCATCTGCTGAAGCATGGTGATGGTGTCAAGGATGTGGCGTTCGCCGTCGAAGACTTGGATAACATCGTGATGTACGCCAAGCAGAAGGGCGCTAAAGTCATCAAGGATATTTGGGAGGAGAGCGACTTCCATGGAAAAGTCCGAATGGCCGTTATCCAAACGGTATTTTATCAAATGAACTAATGGGACATGAAACTAATGGTTTTATTTTGCAGTATGGAGATACCACTCATACTTTTGTGGATAGGAGCCTTTACAAGGGATCTTTCCTTCCTGGATTTACTCCTAGCGCTCCAGACAATCTGATCAAGAACTTGTAAGTTCACTTTACTTCTTCGATTAATCGGGATTAACTTTTTAACTCTTTGTTTAGGCCACCTGGTAAGTTGGACTTCATCGATCACGTTGTCGGAAACCAACCCGATATGTGCATGGAATCCGTTGCTAAATGGTACGAGGACGTGCTCCAGTTCCATAGGTTCTGGTCTGTAGATGACTCCCAGGTGCACACGGAATACTCCGCGCTCCGTTCAATCGTAATGAGCAATTACGAAGAGAACGTTAAAGTAATTTAATTAATCGATTACATTAAGAATAAATTAATAACAAATTATCTTCAGATGCCAGTCAACGAGCCAGCCCCAGGCAAAAGGAAGAGTCAAATTGAAGAGTACGTCGAGTACTACGGTGGTGCCGGTGTTCAGCACATCGCTCTCAACACCCAAGACATCATCACTTCAGTAAACACATATTTAACATTAATTTTATTATATTAATTTGATTATGATTACAGGTGAAAAATCTTCAAGCTAGAGGCATGCACTTTTTACAAGTACCTGATAGCTACTACGATCTCCTGAGGGAACAGCTGAAGCACAGTCCGGTCAAGATCGCCGAAGATCTGGACGTGCTCCAGAAGCTGAAGATCCTCATCGATTACGACGATCAGGGTTACCTCTTGCAAATCTTCACCAAGAATATGCAAGATAGACCGACCTTGTTCTTGGAGGTCATCCAAAGAAGGAACCATAACGTAAGTTATACCACATCCGTTAATTTATGATGCATTTTTTCATGCAAATATTTCGTTGTTAGGGATTCGGTGCCGGCAATTTCAAAGCATTGTTTACTGCTATCGAAATCGATCAAGCCAGCCGTGGAAATCTATAGAATGCAGCTTGCAAACCCACGCAGATTGTTTTTTTTTAAATTAGTTACATACATTTGTTTTCTATACTAAACAAATGAATAAATAATCATATATTACTTATTACTTGTTATTTCTATTCCAATTAACTGTCTATTATTTTCAAGACCTCAACAACTAATAACAACAACTTTAAAGTTATTTAAACAAATATTTTATCTTTATTATCATGTACACGTTTTTATAAATATATATTTTTGATCAAATAACAAGATATGTATTCAAGGCACAATAATTATCTGAACTTAAGAGAAATTTAAATATATGACTATACAATGTGATATTTACAAAAATCTTTTATTAAAAAAAAAACCGACATTTTTTTAAGTAAACGTAGGAATATAACAGCCCTTACAATTTTATACAAGAGACTTAATTTTATACATAAATGAGTCCAGCATTCAAAAATACATCGTTGACTTGTCTGTCGTAATCCCATGAGTTTTAGCAGTAAAATCCATATCCCAAAGTCCTAATGCAATCAATATATAAGATTAAACCAAAAAAATATACTGCTTTAAAGTAATTACCCGTAAACGTATTTTCCGCCAAAGTGTGATTTTGACTGTCGTGTTTTGCACAATACCTTCTTGGATGCTCACAGGTTTTACAATTGATGGGAGATTTTTGTTTAGGTTTTGTTTCCTGCACACTAATAAAAACATAAGTAATTAACATTTTTTTTTAACTAAAACTAATTCAAAATCTTACTTTTCCAAATGAGCCTTTGAAGTGCTACTGTTCACATTAGCATTTTGCACCATTGCAATAATATCATCAACTCTCATTGATTTGTCATCAAAATTACCATATACAGTTGCCTCAGAATCATCTTCAATAGGTCTAAAAAAAAAGCAAATCTTTAATATTAAAAAAAAAACTAAAAGCAAATGCATTAATCTCATTACATTTCCTTTGTTTTCTCCAATTTATGTGTTACAGTATTATTAAAAGTATTTGCACATTTCTTCTTGAACTGTGACTTATTTCTTGCCCTTGATACATTCACAGGTGTGTTCTCAATAATTTCATCGACAAATAATTTCTGCTTTACTGGTGTTTTAGGTTTAGTTTGGCTTCTCTGGTTTCTCTTCATTTGGAAATACTTTCTGCTTTTACAACTTATCTTTGGACTTTGAGGCTTTTGTGTTTGAATAATCACATCATCATCATCTGTAGCTATCTCAGTTACTTGCTCATTCAGTTTAGAATCAATTGTGGCACTTAGTGGAGAATCCAAATTAAATATGTCTGGACTTATATAGGATTGCTTTGCTAAATGTGATCTGCTTATAGTGGAGAGTGGTGTTTCTGAAAGCTAGTTATTAAAATGTCTTACAAACTCTAAGCATATCTCAATATTACCTTTGTTCTTTTTCAATGCTGGAGTCCTGAAATAAAAAATACTGTTAATTTTTCTAAAGACACTTAATGTACTTCATGAGACTTACAAAGTTTTAGGTATATCCATTAACTGTTCCCTGTACGTTTTCAATTTATTATTGGCCATTCTTTGTATCTCTGAAATAATAGTTAAAATTTAAATTACAATTTAAGAATACAGCAATTCAACTTACTGGTCATCTCTGTGCCTAAAACGTGAATAATCACAGCAAAATTCCTTAATTCCTTGATCTCATTCAACCAAATCGTCTCCGCACTATCCGAGAATAAATTTTTCCATTCATCAAACGCCGAACCCATTTCTTATTATAGTAAATGTAAGCAAACAAAACTTGAATGAAAATAAAAACAAATCTTCAGTACATTCAACATTGAGTTAGGCCAAATTATCAACAGAACACCAACAAAGTAAATTAAAATTTCCCTAAAATATTGTTATCATAAATACAAATAATTACAATAATAAGTTAATTTTAATTATATTTATGAGCAATTCAATTCAATTAGATGCATTTAATGATTCAAGTGGATTCAATAATCTAAATGTACGATATGTATGGCTGGTTGTCAATACCAAAACCACCTGTAATTAAATAACATTGAGACTTGATCAATTTATGTTATAAATATCCTTCTTGGTAATTAATGGTGTTGGTAAGTTGTAGCTATGAATCTTAAAGTAATGATTAACTTTTTTTGTCACTTCTTTTTATCTTAGTCTTCAACTTACTTAAATATTGCACAGCAGAATTTCATCAGTTGCTGCCAAGACATCAAGATCTACAAAACATAAAGACTATCATAATTATTATAGATTTATGTTTCTTATTAACATTGACCACTAGGATGAATTAAAGAAGGATCTATTTAACAATGTAATGATTTAACGCTAAAAGGCAGTGGGTTTTCCATGAGTGAAGAAGCAAGAGGAAGGAATGTTTTAACGTATAACTAAGTATTAATTCTAATTATTTCAGATCTAGATGTTTCATTTCAAAGTACTAAGATCTAATGAACTGTGTTTATCATCGGATCTTCATCTATAATCTAGTTTCCAATTAAATAATATATATATGAAGTTGCTCGATTGGTTGCATACTTTTGACTACCATTAGATAACCATGATCTTGTTGGCTGAGGAGCGTCTGGTTCTTGGAAACTTTATTACAATGGATGGTAGTAATTGAAATTGTTCTTCTTGGTGTTACCATGAAGCCATTGATACATAGCTTGTTTTAGGATAGGTGAAGCTTCTGGATTATAGGTGCCAGTAGAGGTACCGTTGGTGATGGTCGATGGTTAAGACGGTGCGCACGCAACAGCAGGCCCCTCCGATTTCAAACAATCCATCCGCTATGTGCCTTCCTCTATTAACTGTTTGTTGGTTTGTCATCTATAGAGAGCGAAGCGTGCGTTCGTCGTGTCGCCCCGTGAAACATGTCGTAAACCTGTTGCATTTTCATCGGATTACCAGCAGAAGCAATTAGAACAAAGACCGTGCGAAATGCCAGGATTCGAGTGTGCCGTGCAAATTACCAGTTGGCCAGGTTGTGTTTCAAATTAGTTTTCTGCGTGGTTTTGTTTATGCCTCGCAACCACTCTTCTGCATTCATCCCTATTCCCCTCGTTTTTGTTGTTATTGTTGTCGTCTTCAACACTTTTCCCGAATACGAAAGCCTACAATTAGTTTTTTCCATTTTCTGCTTCAGTTTGTTGTTTGCACACTCTCATAAAGTAGAGTCAAGTTTTTCGGATACGAATATACACATTCACGCACACTAAAGAGTGCGAATGAAAGATGGGATTACCACTGTCCAAGTCGGAACCAGCACCCCAACAACAACAGCTCAACACCACGCAACAAAGTCAGATTCATGACAAGCCGGAAAGTGCGCTTAGCAAACACCATGCCAGACAAGCGAGCATCAGGAAGAAGCAGCCCATGCCCGATGCAGATGAACTGGAGAAGAGATTCACCAGAGTTCTCGTAAGTCCATTCACACATCCATCCTACGTACGCAATCAAGACCTCTGATACCACCTAATTTACTCTAATCATAACCAATTTACTTCTAGCAAACAATTAGTGAACTTCGCATGTACATAGAAATATGAACCCTAATTAGAATGGATAAATCCAATAGCATTCATAAAAATATGCACGAAAACGACAACCTATCATCACTTGATCCAATAAGTTACAAACGCTTATATCAATATTGATAGAAACAGAAATAATTAGAATTACTCATAGGTCTAATTATCAGTCTGTCACGGATGTGCTGCGTTTTAAATTTCACGCATTGGTATTATTCATAGTAATTAATTGTGTTTTTCGAATATTCGATCATATTGGAATTATTTCTTTATACCTGTATTTCCATAAGCTTTTACAAAACTTTATATTTCGTCCTTTCTACTGAAAGAAACCGAGAAATACAATCGGAGCGCTGTGGCAATTGAATGAGAATCGTTGTGTTTATAAATACCATCACTCGAAGAGACAAACAAACAAAAACGAATTTTTAATTTGTATAAAGGAAGCTAAGATTGAATGCGGGGAAGTTCATCATTCTTAATTAACGTCACGAACTGTTACAATGTAATTTATATACTAAAGTATTTTATTTTAGATTTTTTAAAAACTCTCATTGATTTAGAAAATAGCTAAAAGAGTGAATATTAACTTATGTAAATGGATAATATGCTCGGTAAGGAGTTCTATTTGAACGTTGTTGATGATTTAAACATGTCTCTTTCGTCGAGTTATTAAAGTCGCAGAATGTGTGTAATGTTTTTTTTTTTCGTCGTCCTTGGTGGTAACGTTGATGAAATACAATATTTTAATGAACGCGTAAGTGTGCAGTTGCAATAAATTCTAGCATTACCCAGTTCAACCTATTCCATGTGTGACACACGTATGAGCAATAAAACCGCGAACGCGCGTTTTATTTACATTCATAGATATATATCCATCATCAATCTCCAATGAAAATATAATCACCGTGGACTTTCCATTAGATCTAATAAATCTATTTACTTTTTTCGATTAGATAACTATCGATATCTTAGCTATAATCAGAGACTGGATAAAATGTCTGTTAGTACTTGCAGTTCTTACAAGAACAATTTTGCATATCTGGAGGTTCGGTATTCTTTACCAAGTGAAATATACGTGGTTCGTTGGCAATCTTATCTCAGGCTTTACGATATATAATAATTCAGGGAATGGCAATAATTGCGTTCGATAGATATCGGGACGCAATTAATATATACTCTGGAAGGCATTCGAGTGGATTGGAATGCGTTATCACGAGGGAAATGGAGAAAAAAAAAAGGAGAATACTAGAGCTGATCTCTAAACCAGGCGGTTCGGTTCGAAAGCCGACTGAAATATCCATTAACTGAATTCATTTAACAACAAAAAAGAAGAGGAAGGACGTGCATGTATTTACGTAACCTCGACAATACGGTTTATATTTTAGTCTTACGTAAATTTGAACCAGATTTGCGCAAATTAAAAAGCCTGACGTAATTCGACGAAATTATTTTCTTTGGCGTTCGAAGGACAATCCGATTTGAACTGTTTAAGAAATTAATTGGACACGGTTTTGCATTAATGGAAGCAATAATTGTTGGAATGGAATCAATCATCCGGCGAGAATGTTCGTAAATCTTTTTTTTATTCTTGTAATTATAGCAGGTTTAATTATTTTTTTTCTTATTGTTATTTTCGCTCTTCGTTTGCAATTATTAATGAACCTGAGGGCATTAACAGTTTCATTCATCTTCTGCTCGTGAGGGGCGAAGAATAAAAGTGTTCTCTCAGAGGTTGCCAATAAATGGAAGTAATAATCATAACTCGATGGAGGAATGCGAGTTGCTGCGAATTAATGCGCCTTTTGATATGCATGAGAATCGGAGCTCCTCTCGAGGAGGAGAGTCGTTACGGACGGATCGCGTTGTTGTTAACATCTACCAAAAGGGGGGGAAGAAACAAACCTACGTATACAATCAAGGGTATTAAAACGGCTCATGTTGGAGAGAAGATATGTAGTGTGTGTGTGTGTATGTCGTGTAGAGCAAGGAACTGGTGAGAGGGAGAGAAAGAGAGGATGAGAAGAATGGGAAAAAACGAGGCTTTTATTTGTGGGTTTGGTTTGATATACTGAGGCTAGACAGGGTGGGGCCCCACGGCATGTACAAAAGTGCATCGCACCTAGGCAAGGTAAAACTCGTAAAACGTTTCCAATTCCATGCCCTTTCTGCGTACACTTCGAGCACTAAAAAAAAAGAGTAAAAAAAAATAAAAGATGTACACATTTATTTATCCTGCCTTCGCTCACTCTTGATAATTTTCATTTGAACCGGAGCCGAATTGGTCGGGCTTTCATCTAAGCCGAAACCATGATCTTTATTAGCCATAAAATTAATTTATTTAAAAGAAACACACACGCACTTCGGAATGTCGATGACTTGAGCTGCGGTACGCTCAGTTTCTATTAAATTTCATCACAAATTAAGTAGCTTCTTCACAAAATTTATGAATGAATTCGTATATTTGCATAGGAACCTCAATTAAAACATAATCAAATAAAGTAGATGTTTGCTTTTACTATTGTTCGGAAAATTGGTCAATAAATAAACGAGAATTTGTGTATTTACAATTAAAACATACTTAACTAAATAAACAACATTAATATTCTTACAATATTTATTAGAAAAAGGAAAATACACTTTTAATAATTATTGTAACTTTTAATAAGTAGTGGAAACTGTTATTAATCGTCCCAATCTTTTAGAGTATGTAAATATTTCTATTTGTGTTAATATTGATCAATTCTGTTTATTGCTTAGCAAATAATAAGTTCATATATTTTATTACTTATTTGATTTGTGACTCGTAGAAAAAGTAACATCAAAATTCCAAATAAATAAAGAGAATTTTGTATATTTGTAGTAGAAATTCAATTAAATCATAATTATATGTTTATAAAATTACATAAGCAAATGATAAAAGCTAAATTTTCAAAAAGAATGAAGCCAAAATTGTCTTATTTAGAATACTAAAGAAGCAAATATTCAGATAATACTTTCAGAAAGAAAAATTTTCTTGTTTGGTACACATAGGCAACAAATAGAAGACACATTTTTAGGAATAATATAATTTAACTGTTTCTTGTACGATTCCAATATTCTCTTAAGAATTCTATGAATATTTGGTATACTAAACATAAATACAGAATTAAAGGCAACATTGTCTTTGTTATAAACGCTACAATTTTAGGAATAATATAATTTAACAGTTTTTTCGTTCGATTCTGAAACTGAATATTCTTTAAAAAATACTGAATAATTCTATAAATATTTTGTGTAGTGTGCAAGCAACAAGTGAAAACTAAGGTTTTCAAGATTAATACTGAAATCTATGTATATTTGAACAGGCAAATGTTTAAAGAAGAAAAGATAATTGAAGGCAAATAAATCAAATTGTCTTATTTGATTTTTAGGAATAATATAAAATATTTTTTGTACGATTTTGTTGTGCTAAAGAGGCACAATTGGCAATATTGGCAGAATTTATACTAAATAATCCTATGTATTTTTGGAATATTGATCAGGAAAGAAGGATACAGATTTGAATGCAAAATAGTTTTATTTGAGTTATTGACTAAATAAAAGTCTAAGTTTTAGTGTCAATATAAAAGATTTTAATAGTTTTTTTTTTATGAGAATCTAATATTCTTTAAGAAATATTCTATGAATATTTGGTGTACTGAACAAGCAACAAGAGAAGGCTAAATTTCAGGGAATAATACTAAATAATCCAATGTATATATTGAATATTTTCACGAAGAATATAGAAATAAAGGCAAAATTGTCTTGCCAGGCTAACGAAAATAAATGAAAACTTTTAGCGACCGGAAGTCGGGGTCCGGAACATCTGCGTTGCGGCCGCTGAACCAAGCAGAAGCCAAAACCAACGAATGAACGTCTCTCCCAGGAAAATAACGAAAATGAATGTGTCCGTCCGAATTGGTTAGCAGTAGTAGTATAGCAACGCTGGAAATGCCGGTATTTAAGTGAAAGTGCCGGGCATTAGCCAAACGAAATTGGTTTAGTTAGTTGGATCGGATAGGGGTGCCCCGCTATTTTCGTTCGGGATTACGCCGAGCCGCACTAATTTTAGAGGAGAGCCCTATCGCCAACTAAAATAGCCAGAATCTAAACAAAGAGAGCAGAAATACCCATAAATTATTTCCGTGGAGAGAACGAAGGGGGAGCGGATATTTATTTCGTGCCCAATAATGTCTTCCAGACGCCGCCAGCATTGTCACTTTGTCTCTTCTTTCACTTCTGGGATGGATTGACAACCTACCACAACTGGAAACAATGCGCATTCACGAAAATCCTTCGACGCACTTCGAATCTTGCTCGCATCTCGTTCGCATTAAAATAATGGGAGCAATTACGTAATCTTGTACGATTCATAAACTTATGTGCACCGAGAAAAGTATACAATAATTTCATATTCACAACTGCTTGACGAAAGAAATCTATTTCACTCGAGAAACATGTATTTGCATTTAGAAATCGTGATAATCAGCATTATTATTGACACAAAATAATAATTGGTAATAATTATGTGAGAATAATTGCGAGTGCAACAAATCAAATCGAATTCTGCAAAACATCTAAATTCTCGATTCAGATGCAGCTGTGTTTTCACCTATGCACTTGGTATAATCGTGTTCTCAGTTTAGTAGAAGCGGAATGCTGTTTATACATTTAAAGTACTACTTTGATAATAAGACTATTCCATAAGCAATACTACAAATTGCGACCATAAATTTGGAGTTCTCCATTACCATAGCTCTTAACGCAGATGCTTATGTCTTTGAAATGAATCTATTTTAGCTTTTCTAGTTGTAATGTATATAGTAGACAAAGAAAATCCATCCATTATTAATAGAAATGAACTACAAT